TTAATCCTTACTTGTTATACATTAAAATTTAAATATTCTTATTTATTTCTCATTAGAAGCTTTAAAAAGAACAATTCTATTATATCATTAAATTTTTCTATAGAAAAAAATAAAAAAATAAAAAATTTTTTTATCAGTATGATAAATTAAATCAATTTTAAATTAGATTTGTATTATACTTGATTAAAATACTTAAAATGCTATTTAATAACTATTAATTTTGATTAATCACTTTTGAATTACACTTAATGTTTTAATTATTTAACTTAAAAATTTTTGTTATACATTTACAAAACAAAATGTTACTTTTTTAAATAAAATTACTGCATACATTCTAATACTTAAACTGATATATAAAGTAAGTATAATATTTTAAAAAAAGTTTTATAAATTCCTTATATTTTGAATTTATTAGTAGATAATTGTCTAAATAATATCAAATAATTTATTTACTAGCATTTTATTCCATCTAACTTTTTAAACATAATGAAATACAAGCTATTTCAGAATTGAAGTGATTTCTAACTTTTATAATAATATATGATACAACCAAAAATGCTTGCTTACTTACAATACTAGTTTCCTAAATTATAAGATAATTATATGTATTTTGTGATAAAATTAAAAACTTGCTTGTATATTGACACCACTAAGATAATGGCTCAGATTGTATTAATGGTAAAGCCAAATATCTTTCTAATTCTTCTTCTAATAGTTGTGTTTCATTTTACTATTGCAATAATTAAATTCTCAAAAAATGATCTAGCATTTGTATTTTTTGTATTTTTTGAAACAATATCATTTGAATGATTTACATAAGACCATTTTTGAATGAAGTTGATTTATAGCTATATCATGTTGTTCTTCCAAAAAAAAGTAAGTAATTTTGAATTTAAATTAAGTATAGTTAAAATAGTTGTAGAAATATTAATTATCTATTATAATTATCAAGTTTTTACATATGGATTCTATAATAATTGATTCTTCTATAATAACTACTAGGAAATGAGAACCATTATGAAGTCTGAAGCGAATATTCACCTACCCTACAAGGATGAAAAATAATTTTTTTTCTATAATTTTATAAACAATAAAAATATTTTTTAAAAGGGAATTTTTTTTTGTTTGATTGACATTGCAATTGTTTACATTTGTTTACTTGACATTTATTTTATATATAGAATTTGCAGTATAATACAAGGAACCAATAATCTGCATTGACTTATAATTCAAGCGGGTGAACAATGGGACATTGATCATTAAAGTGTCTGTTAGTATATAGTCCTTCGCTTCGCTTCGGACTAATTAATATATAACTTAATAAGTTAAAGAATTCCTGCAAAAGTTAATTATATATCACTAACGGTTGAATATAAACTTAAAAAAAGAATTTTTATTGCCTTATACATTAGTTTAAATAAAATAATTATTGATTATACTTGTTTTTATTCATCATCATTAAGATAAGAATTTTCCAATTATTTATTACTATAAACAGAAAAGTCAAGTTCTTCACACATTCATTTCAACTTTTCTAATATCAATAATGTGCTGTCCCATTATGTAGCAATATCAAGTTTAGGTTTGAGATAATCTTTTTTTATTATCTTATAATAATTTTAAAGTGAATCATAAAGAACAGTGCAATATTAAATTTTGGTTACAAATGTTCTAACTTTATCAATAACATTCACTTTTACTTGCATTTTATGATTAATTGCGATATTTAAAATGTATGCTATATATTAGAAATGATGAGACTCATTATTATTTTAAGTTATGTTAAATTTGTTTGTCATATTTTTGTCACAAAAAATTATTGTTACATCATTATTTATAGTAAGAGAAAGAAGTTTTTCATTAAGATTCATTTCATTTATTAATTGAAAGAGCTTTTCTTTTGTTCTAATACTAGTATGATTATATTCAAAATAAATTAAATCAAGAAGATAATACCGCATATTTCATTTATTATTAATATAATAAATAGTTACTTCAAGATAAGCTTGATTTGTAATTGAAGTCCAAACATCAATAGTAAAAAATACTTTGTTGTTAGTCTTTCAAATTCATTTGCAACCAAAGAACAATGATTTTTAAATTTATTAAGAATCTATTATTGTAGGTATTGATATAATAGCAAAATATATTTCTGATCTAAAATATTATATAATTCTTTTTAAATCAAAAGCTATTTACAATAGAAAATAACATTTGAAATCTAATAACAAAATCAATAGTGATATTTAAATAGTCTTTTACTCTTATTGTATTAACTTTACTTTAAAACTTTTAAGCAAAACTAAATTATGTTTGTTGTTTAATAGAAATATTACATTTGTGTTCCTTAGATAAGTAATCACTTAATGGTCTTCTTGATATTTTTGACCCATATTCTTTTTTATACAAATTATAAATGATTGCTATAATCTATTCTATATCATTATACTTTTTGTACATATAATCTGAAGTAGTTCTTCTTTTACTCTTATTATTATTACCTAAAGGTATATCTTTCGTTGATAGTTCAATTGTACTATCTTTTAGTATATCTTCCATTGATGATTCAGTTATATCTTCTTTTGAAATAGATGATTCTTTATTTAAAACAATATTTTCATCAAAATCATCATGATCAATAATATCTTCTTCTATATCTTCTAAGTCTATGTGTTTCATTTTTTATGAAGAAGATAGTTCAAAAAGAGTTTAGAACAATTTATGAAAAACGTTTATTAAAATCTAATGTTAATAAAATTGAACAAGATATCTAACCAGTTTTTCTTTGATTTATGATATTTAAAATTAACATTTATATCTGATAATCTGAAGCATAATAAGGTTGAACTAAATTTGATAATAAATAATTTGATTTTATTTAATTTTTACATTTATTTATTTATTTAAAATATATTTTATAAATTAATTAAAAATATCAATCATAGTTGAAACTACAGCTGAAAATTGACAATTGAACCAATAGTCTAACCATACTAAGTCACATATTAGAAACTGTAGTTTGTTACAGTTTCTAATCTTAAAATTAGACTAAATTAGTTTAATTGCATAACTGGTTTAAATTCAGTTTACTTTTAACTGTTAACATCCCTATAACTGTTACACTACTACTTGTTTATAAAATTTTTCTTTAATTAATTATTTCTCCTTCTTGATACTACAGAAGATAGTATATTTTAATTAGTATTACACAAAAATCATTTGGATGATTTGCTTAATATAGATTATTAAATTATGTCAATATTGTTTACATAGTTTACTTAGTTTATTTATTTTATTTAGTATATTTATTTTATTTATTTAACTTAGTTGACAAATATATATTTTTTATTTTATATAAATATAGCTGAGAAACTTTAATATTTAACAATCAGAGCAGTCAGTACATTTAGTTTGAATAAGTTTAGTTAAATTATTGAATAGTTTAATTTGATCTATTAAAATATTTTTACAGTACAGAAGCATTGACGTTAAGGCAGTATTCATTTATTATTGTATATATCAAATAAATAATCGATATTGATACTTTAACCTATCTCAACTATAAATTAAACCTTCTGCTTACCATCTATAATATCTATTTGCTTATAATATTTAAGTAATATTAAAAGAATTGATTATAACACTTGGTGCTTTCTGCCAGAAAATTATTTTTGTTAAAAATTATTTATGTTTGATGAATATTATTTGATTAATTGTAAACATAATCAATTGCATATCTATTTGAACCAAAGCAATATCACTGCATATTAATATGATAGATTCTATTATGTTTGTTATTTATTAGAATTAGTTACTTCTAAATGCTTTTAACACTTTTGGAATTGATATACTATTTAGTAATCTGCAATAACTTTCACTTGATATACTGTTAAATGAAATAACTTTCGACCTAATGATTACATTTCGCTGAAAATACGATCATTAGAACCGTCTCATCGAGAGCTTTCCAACGAATATAAATACAAGGTTATTGGATTAATAGAAGCGAAGATAATTAGAAAAGAGTGATTAATATTATAAATCTGCAGATCACTGCTAAAGAAAGCCGTAATTTCTTAAGCCGCAGCCCGACGATCAAAACGACCGAAACCTCGGAAACGATAATAACGTTGTTAACTAAGTTAATATAGTTAATTAAGTTTAATTAGTTTCGTTATGTTTATTTAGTTAAATTAGTTAATGTAGTTAACTAAATTAATGAAGTTTATAATGTTTCTTTAATTTTAATAGTTTTACTTTATCTTAAATTAGTAATAGAAGTAGATCAAATATTTTATATAAATAGGGTAAGAAATTGTTGTAGTTTATAGTTAGAGATAGTTACAGACAGTTACAGATAGAATTAGTAAAAGGTAGATTTGAATTAGAGAATTTATTGTGAAATTTATAAATTGATAAGTTCGTCAACAAGAGCTTATTTAGTTTATTGAATCGTATTGATCCACTTATATTTAATTAATAAACCAAACTTTATCCCTATAATATTGATCTGTTAAACTTGTGACCTAAAACCCAATCCATCATTATTGCTCTCCCATCGTATTTGAAGTATTCATATATATTTCCAATTTATATTTATATATATTCAACATTCCCTGTACTTATAAATTGATATATTATTAATTCAATAGTTTTATTAATGTGAACTAATTCTTAAAGTTATTAAGTTAAATCATTATCCTTCAGATATCTAAAATCTTGCTATATGTATTGAAGCCTATTTTTCAATCAGTAGACTTCGTAATTGACTCGTATAACAATACCTAACAATACTTAAAGGAATTAAACTATACCTACCTTTACATTAGAACTGCAAACATAATAAATACTGCACTTAAAGATCTTATTTTAGTATATAATATTAAGTAGGATTTGCAGAATTCCTTATTACTATCAGACAAAATATATATAATGCTTTTATTTTAATTGTAGATTTAACTTAAATCCTCTAAATTTATTACATTAAATATCTGAAACAATTACTTGCCTCCTTCTGTTATATCAGATGAGACTGAATCTACTGTCTTTAGTAATAATATAGATAATAACTTATATATTAATAGCTTATTATACACTAATGAAGAATTAAATCTTGAAAATTTATTTGATAATATGGCTACTAACATATTTGCTAATCTGTGAAATTAACAAAATTAATCTAAATTAAGGAATTTTATAATAATATAACAAAAAATTGTTTCACAAAAAAATCATATTTGTATTATATAATTATATGATACAGGAGCAAAGACAATGATTTTCTGTATTTACAGAATTTCAGGAAATCACAGAATAAGGTTATAAAAATGATAATAATTTTCAAAAATTTGGCCTGATTTAAGATTTGCAATTATCAGCTAGAATTTGCAAACAGTAATGTTGGCTAACCTTATATAATTCTGGCTAAATCACAGAATTTTACAGAATTAACTTTTATCATATACAGAATTCATCCTTAATCACTGCAGGAAATCATTGTCTTTATACAAGAGTGATAAAGATATCAAAAAATTACTTCAACTGTAATAATAAAAAAAATTTTTTTTCTTTTGTAAGCTTTTTCCATCAACTTCCTCATCAGTATAGATAGCAGTTATTTTCTAACTAATAAGTAAAAGAAAAATATCAATATTTAATATTTATGCTTTTTTTATTTATTTTTAATTTTTAGTTCCTTCTTTTTTTTACAGAAATATGTACAAAATAAAAAAATAAGTTATGATTTAGAATTTTAAAAGTTTATTTTTATCTTTTAATAAACCCAAATTATGGGAGAAACTTTATTGATATTCATGTTTGAGGAATACATAATATACATTATTCCAATGCTAATAAGAGATAAGCCCGATGTGGACAACTAATCCATTTATTATATATGTTATAAACATTTTTATTTGGCTCTTCTCTTTTTATTTGTCATTTTCCCCAGTGTTTTTTTATTTGGTTTATTTTTTTTTTTATGTGGTGTTTCAAAGCAATCTACAATAGAAATTTTATTTTCAGGAGTTGTTGGTCGAGAAAGGTCCTGGCCATTGTCTAAGATTTCTGAAATAAGATCCTCTTCCTTAAAATCATCCACCTTTGGGATCTTCTGTTCGATGAATCCAAGTGCCTTTAAATTGTTTTCAATTATAGTCTGAAAAAAGTCATTTGTGAATTTTAAAAGTCAAAAGAATCTAATAAGTGTATTTATAAAAAGAAGTTACCTGACTTCGCACAATTGCTTTTAGAAACTTAAGAAAATCCAAAAGGCTTGTTTTAGAAAAGTGATTGGAGATAGAATGAATATCATCTTTTGAAAAGATACATATAGACCCTCCAGTCAACCATAACCTTACAAACTGAATGTTATAGCGAAAATGCAGGATACCAATGGCCACCAACTTATTCACTTCCTCATCGTTGCATCGTTTTGATCTTATCATATCAACCAAAATATCTTTCAAAGTCTTCGGCATTTTAAAAGACTCAATAAGGAGTTTTCTATCTCCATCATTTACGAAGGATCTTGCTGCTTCAAGTGCACCCAATTCTATATTATAAGTTGCATGATGAATAATTCCATCAACCTTTCTGCCAGTCAATTTTCTTTGTTTTGGTTTTTTAGCTCGATTTTTTCTATTTGCTGAGGCAGTTGATGGTGCATCTGTCCTTTTTATATCCGTAGACATTTTTGGGTGTCTCATCAAGAAATCAAAGCAATTTCCAAACAGGTTGACTGTAAACCAGTCCTCGTACTGCTCCCGGCACAAAGGGGCAGATGGATTTTCATAAAGGTTGCACAGATGCCTCAAGGCAATTTGGATCCATTCTTTAAAGTAATGCTCCTTTGGATCATAAACTTCATCTTCTTTCAGGAAATTGCGCATTACTTCTTGGCGAAGTTGAGCAAGATCCTCCTTCATGTATTTGACCAATTCTTTTCCGATTTTATAATCAACGTACGGCAGTGAAGGCTTCTTCGTAAGTTCCTTCCAGTCTTCTTTACTGAATAATGTTTTTATTTTGTCATCATGATCACATATGATGAAGGAGTGTGCATGGCTATGATTCATTTAATATGTTAGAGTAGAAAATTCTAAAAGATTCGGATTAAATGAACTTACCTCTCATAATCTAGATCTTTTGCGTATTCAAACAAGACATTCTAAACAACAGTTTTTGAACTTAAGACAAGTTTTGCCTCTGTAGGTATCTCCTGGAAAATTTTTCGAAATTGTTCCTTTTTTTCTTGGGTCATTCGATTTTCATCATCTTCCTCCGAGTCATCACTGTGGTTCTCATCTTCTTCACCTTCTTCAGTATAATCACCGGAGGAGGTTTCATGGACATTTGGAACTTCTTTGAAAGAACGCTTTTTTGGTGTATTGGTATGTTGTTTATATCCAATTATATCAGCTTTGTTATAGTTAGAAACTTCCATCTACAGTCATGGAAAAAAATCAGTTCTATAGGTCCAAGTTTACTAGCCTCAGCTCAACCTCAGTTCAATTACTCACGGTAGATTTTGTAAATTCCATTTTCGATTCGTCACTTATGTGAAGATGCTCATCTATAACGTTTGACTGCACATGGATAAATTTTTGTTTCTAGATGATTTACAATTAGTAGGGCTATATTAAAAAAACCATTTGTGTAGATCATTGTATAGATTTCAATATTAAGTATTTCACCTTTTTTTCGAGAATCAGTTCTTCTTGTCTGTAAGTTCTATCTTTTTCTTCTTTGGTGCGAAGAGAATCCCAAAATTTTTCGGTACGGCTTGCCTTGAGATGGATGTCAATAATAGCTAATAAAGATTTTGCCACCTTACCCACATCGTCATTTTACGTGGAAACTTGGGCCAAAGCTTGACGTAAAACTTTTTCGGCGTCTGTTCTCGTTGAATAAGCGAAATGGGTCTTTTTGAAGAACTTCACAGCTGTAAAGCCTTCTGTCAACAACTCTCTTAAAATATCAACATAATCTTGCTGATATAATTTTTGCAAAGGGAAGAAAAGCTTTGTAAGCAATTAATGATGACAAATAATTTTATAGGCAGAAAAACTTTGATACTGACCGTACTAACCGGTAACATGATGATAAGCTATTAAAAGGAATTAAAAGGAATTAATAGGAATAAAAAGATTTGCTGATGAAAAGATGTAGTTCCAACTCGAAACCGTCTCCAGATAACACAAGATTGTTACATCGCTCGAAACCACGATGCAACTGCTTCAATGACAACACACTAAAGCAGACATGAAGCAGACATATCGAGGAAGATATATCGAGGCGGACATGGCATCCTCAGGTTTTACACGCGTCAAGAGGCCGAGGTTAGAAATACAAATCCGAATGTTGAGCTATATTCCTTTATGTACTCACGAAAAAAGGACTGACGGCCAATGCTAAAAAAATAATTCAGCAGTTTCAGAAAGTGATGAAACGAACGTAATGCACAAAAATAAATTTTGATCACGTGTCACCCACCAATCAGATCGGTCATTCGGTCTATGGTATTTACTGCGGACTAATATACAGAGGGAGTACAAAAATCACCAGGCATCTTAAAATAGAAATAATCATCCAAAATGTTTCTTCTAATAAAAAAATTTTTTGTTAATTATTTAATAAAAATGTTAGAGCTCCGAATCAGGTCAGGTCAACCTGTGACCCGACCCGACCCGACCTGAAAAATCCAGGTCAGGTAGACAAA